AACTAATTACTATCATATATATAATTTGTCTTAAATATTCATTACAGCTTTGTTTCATGTTAAGTATAAACGTAAATTATAAAAATCGAGAGTAGCTTCGAGTAGCTTCTCCTTGGCGGACTATACCTGTGCCCATTCCTCTTGTAACGACTGCTAAACCCTTCCGAGACATAATTAGATGTCGAAGCAGTCCGAGAATTTCTTGAATTATCGGCCAGTTCGTTCCTGGCGTTGAGACTGTCGTGATCCCTCGCTGCATTCCTCCATCCATTTGCGTACCTTTGATCCTGTTTCGTGTCTCGATACTCAGAAGTGGCTCTGCGCTCGTTGTAGGATACAGCCTCTTCCTTTTTAAACGAATGTACTGCACTCGGCCGATCTTCGAATTTTACGGTGTCTTTTATCTCGCATGCCGCAGGATTGTCCGTTAAATGATACGGCATAAGGTAATTGTAATCGGTTTCTTCGGTCGTAGCTTTATCTTCATTTTCAATTTTTAAACGTTTATGTCTGTGCGTATCATCCTCTTCATTCGTCCTTTTCGATAAAATCTTTCTGTGTGCGTTTCTTTCAAGGGATCCTGCAACAAGATTGCCTCACGATAAATTACTGTACTTTTAAACTAACGAGCGTATCATTCAGTTGTCCTAAATATGTTTAAGTACGAATTCTGAAATTTGTACACTTTCTTCAGGATACAAACAGTAACAAATCAATATTCAACAAGCCTGACATTTTGATATGACGGCACGAAGAATTTCTTTCATGTTAGATTAAAAGCTGTACAAAAATCAAAACACTTTCTTACAATTCTATTCTATAAACTTACGCGGCACACATAATCGCATATAGAAAGTAAAGTTTACGTTACCCGAATTAGAACGTCGTCCGATATTAGATTCATTGCCGTTGTTATTTACACTGAATTGAGATCCATTCTCCCTATCGTTCTCCGCAATGTCGTCTTCAGGAACATCCTCTGGTTGAACTTCTACGCCAGGCTTTAACGATGCATTTTGCCTCTTCTCCTCTTTCTCGCCCTCCAAAACTCTCTTTTGTAATCTTTCTACAAACAACGTGGGCACCCTGCTAACATCAGCCTGCGGCTTCCTACTTTTGTACTTGTCGTGATGGAATTCAGCTTGATGCGTTTCAGTTTTACTTTTCTGTGAACGCGTCGAGGGGATATTCTCATACTTTCTAGCTGCAGTATGTTTATATGCTAATCTGCGAGTGGAAACACCCGGAGTTTCACTCCTGCTGCTCCCCCTTCTAAAAGCTACATCGTCCAACCTGCAAGCATTACGACGACCATTAGAAACGAATTCGTTGGTCAAAATGTTACGGTTTATAAAATTCATACCGCCTCCTGAGATCATCTATCATCTTATTCTTCCGCGCAATTTCAGCTCTTGCAGTTTTGAGTAAGGAAAACAGATTCCTCTCCAAGGTCGCCTTAGTCGTTTGAATGTCCTCGAGTTTGCTCGCAAGTGAGCTAAGCTCACTCTTGAATTCCTTGCAGTTACAATCTTGGTCCTTAATAACAAAAAAAAGCTCATTATTTCGTAGATTCTCTACATCGGTGGTGTACATTATTTAATTATAACTCTTTTTCTTATAAATTATTATTGTTGCGAGACATGTTTTCTTTACTTCGGTATCTTATACATTGCCCTTTAATATCTTTAAGTAGCGTATATAAATTTACGTAAACTTCTTTAAGTTGTATTTAAGGTACGAAGGTATGAAAATGTCCCCTCGACGCGTTCACAAGAAAGTGAAACTGAAACGCATTGCATGGGATTCCACGAGTATAAAAATAGGAAGCAACAGACTGATGTTAACAGGGTGTCTACGTTGCTTGGAGAAAGGCTACAGAAGAGAATTTTTAACTGTATTTAAAGAAGCTCACAGCAATCTGAATTGCATTTAAAAGTCCAAAACACATATATAGCTCCAGCTTTCCATACAGCATGTCCAAAAGACATCTTTAAGACATCTTTAAGTCGTCTTTTAGACATACATATATAAAAGCCAACTTAAAGACGTCTTAAAGATGTCTCTTAGATATGCGCGCTGTATGGGTTTGTTCTTGTAGACATCTTCAAAATTGGATATTGCAAAATATATCAATTGACCTACGTGAAACGCGTCACGTTAAACATTTGCACTTGTACAGTGCGGTGCATCAATTCGACTCGGGTCGTACCATCAAAAAGCATCTATGTTTAGATATAACCAAGTGATTTTTTCCCACGTCTACTCATTACGCGCAAAATCGCAAGTCGCACGTCCCCCGCGTGCGAGCGCGCGACGCAAGTGCGCGCCGACCAGGGACAACTTGCCACGGCAGCCAGAATTTAGCATTGTCGTCGGCGAGTCTCACATTTTTCTCGGACGAGAAGCCCGGTAAATCCGCGTAAATGTCGACGTCATCCCCCATTTTCCGCGGCTGCCTATCACAGCGAGACGGCCGTGACGATCCGTTACTCTCGCGTGCCATCGCTGAAACTGCCGTGTGAAATGCAAACTTTGGGTTTCGAGCACCATGAAAGTGTTGCACTCGGTGCTCACTCACACAAGCGCAACCGTGTCCGTGTGCTGCGCAGAGTCTCTGCTCAGTACACGTACACGGTTGCGCTTGTGTGAGTGAGCACCGAGTGTAACACTTTCATGGTGCTCGAAACCCAAAGTTTGCATCACTAGTGTGAACTGTCGACCACCGTCGCGACTCTGGCGAGCCTATCACAGTTGTTTCCGGTTATGCACCTCCTCCCCCCGGAGCGCGCGCACGGCGCTCATTGCGCGACTTGTTGACTACGCCGGGCTGTGTTTACAATATTGGCCGCGTTCAGCAGACACAACTGTTGAGTGAGCGCTCAATGATTTCTTAACGTGATTGGCTGGATCTAAAAGTATTAGCCAATCATACTGATCGCTCACTCAACAGTTGTGTCTGCTGAACGCGGCCATTCTCTCGCAGCCCGAAGCACGCTCCGCGTCGCTTGTCTGTTCCCACATCTGTGGTCCTTTCGGTACCTCGATGGAAAATGTGTCACTGAAGATACTACGAGATTGACGAAGAGTCGAATAGAAGTTAGAACATCACCTCAGCCGGGGTTTGAGCCTGGACGTCCCTTCACCAATTGGACCAAGTAGTACGAGTTAATCACAAAATGGTATTAACACATATAGAGAGATGATTCTGAAATCACTTGATGCCCTGACCTCCTACGTTAAACCCTGTTCGTTCTAAACGAGGTAACTGATTTTTGTTATATCATTCTTTACATAAGTTGTACTGTGTTTTCATCTTGTATACTTTCGCTGATTTCTTTGTAGTCTTGCTGAGGAAGACCCGAAGAAGGGTCGAAACGTTTTATATTAAAGAGAAATTCTCTTTTCTGTATTGCGAGAACCGAGTTCCGTTCATTTTGTGGCTCACAAAAACACCAATGTGACGTTAAAATTATGAAAACTACGTCATAAAATGATCGGCATCAAGATTTACTTTGCAGTGATTTAAAAAATTCAAATTCTGTGAAACGTTAGGAAAGTCAAAGACTGCTATCGAAAAGTAATAAAAAAAGGGACATTGGACGTGCAGAAATTTGATGGATTTAGTTAAAAATGGTGCCACTTTTCAACGAACGATTTTGGAAATAATTTCTTACTGAAATGTTGATGCAGCGAAATGGAGTCAGTTAATTGAAATTGTATTATATTTTCATTAGTAAAATATCTTCAGGTGACTCATCGGACGATTTCAACCTCTCTTCCACCACACGTTTCGCCACACTTCCACACGTGAGTCGCGACAGCTGACGGCACTGTCGACGTACTCGTCAGCTGTTCGCAGAGAATGGCGAGAACAGCCTGATTCTCTGGATTCGTTCTTTCCGGCTCAACTTCTTGTAGGGTTCGTTCTTCTGTTTAGTGGAAAATTGATTGTTAGATCGCGTAATCGTTGCGAGAAAAGATTTGTCATGAATTTTGACGTTGAAAACCTGCTATCTCCCATTAGAATCCTATCTCATAGAGGAGCGGAGTTTCAGTTAAATTAATAGACATCATCTGTTGATTCCACCATGAATTTATTGCCCGTGGGGCGAAATCTGTTTAGCGGAAAATTGATTGTTAGATCGTGTAATCGTTGCGAGAAAAGACTTGTGATTGAATTTGGACGTTGAAAATTTATCTCATATTAGACTCATAATAGAGGACTTTCCTCTAATACTAATGGCTCGCATGAAAGATGAAAACAAAAATAAGGACAGACAGAAAATATTCTTGTTTTATAATGTAAGAATATATAATATAATAATTATCTTATAATAATATATAAGACTTTGTTGAATGAGGATTTATTTTTATTGGGCAATAAGTGGGAGAATGATGTTTCATTGACTTTTATTTAAGGCTCAGAACTTGTGCACAAAGTGCACTTGTTCTTCGATATACAATAAACGTACGTAAAAGCCATAACATTGTAAACAATCAAATATATCGATTCGGGTACGAGTTTGCTCAACGCGCAACACATCCTCGATACAGCCTCGACATCGCATATAGATAATTGTTTGGAAATATTTGTAAATAAGGCTTATACATTAGACCTCTCTTTTTTTTACGTATAATAAAGGTGGATTAGTCTATAAAACAATAAAGTATTTTTATCCAATAATATATCTTTCTTAACATTTATATGGTACAAAAGTTAGACCATTAACTCGCTTATCTTTGCTCAATCTTATTTGAGTATGTTAATATTAATTACAGTAAATAAAACGTCAACGATTACATCGAATTTTAATATCTATTTGTGCAGGACATTGTAACAAAAAATAAGGTTCTTTTCAAGGTGAAGCAGCTTCAACATGATTTTTAATTTATTCCTGATAAAAATGTAAATGCTTACAAAAATAACCAAGTCAAGTGTCTCACTTTGTACACACACATGAGTATAATTTATATATATTTCTATAATAAATAAATGAATGTATACATTTACATATACATATAGGTATATATATATATATGTATATGTATGTATACTCCGTAAGAGTTTCATTTGTATTTTACGTACGAAACTCTTATGGTATATAATATGTTGTATGTAAAAGCTTTCCCCATAATGTAACACAGTTACTGTTATGTAAATTTCAACTTTGACGAAGATCGTCTGTGACAATGTACTTGATAATCGAATACTTTTCTTGCAATAGGACATTACGTCTTCAACTTTCCCCTAGAACTTAAATGTTTACGTACAACCACAATCGCTTATGCAAACGTTTTATGCAATTTGTAACAAATTCTTGCTCGCAACAATTTTTTTTGTATATAAAAACTTTATGGGATACTTAAAGGCTGTCTCAGTAATAAACTTCGATACTGCTTTCGATAGGTAATGTCGTATAACGTTTCACTGGAATCATTCTTGAGTAAGTGATAAAAAAAGGACAAGTGGGTCAGTAAAACATTTCGACGCTACAGGCTAAAGTAAACGATACAAAAGTTTAAAAAATATCTAGTATCTCATTTTTTAGACATTTTTTAACACTTTTTAAACTTTTAATTTAAGGAGTTCAAAAAGCAGAAAGATTTGAAAAATATCGAAGATGTATCAATAAACCTCATAAATTTTTGCGACGTTTTTAATCTTTCTGTTTGAATCTCTGTAGAAATTTTATATTGTTTGAAACGATTTTTTTTCAATTATTCTTACGAATAAATTGGACAAATTTCTGCCGTTATATCTGTTCAAATTAGTAAATTGACTTTCCCAATAATTGATTTTAATTAGAAAACAAATCAGTTGTATAAAAATAAACAATTGTTGCGTTATATAATTATTTCGTATAGAGAGTTTATCTATAATATTAATATGTGAATGACCACACTTGACTCGAACAGCATAATATAATATTTACGCCCTCATAAACCAGTGTGTATTTATGTCTTGCCACTTACTTGAGACGATAGTAAATACACTCATAAGTTACGTCTCGTTACATTTATCCTTTCATTTATTATTTCTTTTCATTATGTACATTTATTTGTTAATTTCGCAGCGGAAAAGTTGAAACTAAAGTTAAATTAATTATTTGTATTAACAAAATTAAATTAATTCTAAGGTTCTATCTAATAAAACATATAAAGCAACAGTTTCTACATTATAAAGTAATGTTTGTTTGCTCTGCTATTTTTGTTCAATGAAAACTCAAAACTGAATTTTATTTCTGTTTTAGCGCTGACTAAGCTGATTGTCTGATGTCAAGTTTCGCTCGTTCAATATTAAATGGAAGTCAACTTATGTGAAATAAGAATGGCCGCGCATTTCAAATCCATCGCGATTAAGTATTTAAGGCGAACGCCGCATAAGATAGTATATGTGGTTCTATATAATACACAGAATATGTAGTTGTTTGGAAAATGCATTTTAGTGGATCAAAAAATGTATGGAAGATTTAAGAATGTACATACAGAATTTAATGGATTTAAAAATTTATGGAATAAGAGGTTTTTTGTAAGAGATCAAGATCCGAGAAGAAAAAGTCGGTTGGCCACATCTAAAGATTCATAGGACGATATCAAAAAATGTAGAGGTTTGTTTTACTTTTCGCACCATCGTTGTCATAAGCAGGTATTCGCGAAATAAACTCTATCGCAAACTATTCTTCGCGTTGTGATTCCATTGATAAAAATAACAATTCACATTATCGACATATCTCTTGCATTTTGTTCTATCTTCATATATACATATATATATACACACACACACACACATATATATATGTGTATATACCCAGATAGAAAAATGATGCCATGTAGCGTTAAATTGACGTACTATGTTCTCAGAAATGCATACAAAAATGCTGTTCAGGTGTCGTTCATGTGATGATACAGAAAAATATTACCTTCTAATAACATTATAGTAATAAAACTCGACATATTTGTACATCATTTGTGTACGCTGAGAAGAAAAAGTGTTAAATCAAGAAATATTTCTTAATTCAGCTATATGCGGCGATCACGGGCTGCCAAGCAAATATTTATCAATTCGCGAAAAATATTCGTCAATTCATAAAAATATATGTTTCGATACAGCACTGTATGTTTAACTTAAAAAAAAACCATATACATTTGAACTAAAGAAATACTGCCGACTAAACGTATTTAGTCGTTTCAATAACTTTTTCTTCTCAGTGTGCATCTTACGCTTATGTAATGTTACTCGCGTAATGTTCTTTACAAAAAGCATTAAATTGAAATTGGAATATGCAATCACACAGTGACGAAACGTGATCATCGCGCATTTCTCTCTGGATATATGTATGTATATATCATTGACTTTCACCGAGTTTTAGAACTCGGTTTATTCAGATAGAAATTTATTCAGTTCGTACGGTGTAAATAGTGAACGCGATTAGACAGTTTCAAAGATACAAGAGAGAAAAGATAATCAAGTTTATATTTTTATTGACGACCCATAAAAATGCTAATCTTTCTATAATGTTATAATAATTAATCCTCTCGTATAAAGGAACATGTCGTCGTTATGTATTCAACGATTTAAATATCGTACACTCTTTAACTTTGCATTTTTTTCGTAAATCATACTATACATTTTCTTCACTACCATATTTCGAAGTAAAAAATCCAAACGAAAGAGACGATTAGTTCCAAACTAGTATGTTTCGCTTTCTTATTCTCCTCTACTAATTTGTTGCTAACTTATAGACGTGTTGCTTAGAAGAACATAAGTAGCATATCAAGATCCGTATATGTTATTTTTAATTGTTATATGAAGTGCAATTTTTTTTTAAGATGATCTTCATTTAATTTTCAAATGTATGAAGAAATGTAATATCTTATATAACGATATCACGTGAACATAACTCGATATAACAAAATCGATTTGTATTCATTTTGATTAGAATTATTCATAATCAGAAAACATGGGTGTGAATTTTAAGTGAGCGCTTAAATAAAAATTAAAAGGCTTGACGCAAGAATAATGTACTCGTAAATACACAATTCCCCAGATAGCACAGAGAATCTAAAAAAAAAAACTTCCTTTTGAATTTACGAATCATGAAATAAATTCATTTTCCACCCCATTTTTGCTCCGAAAACATTCTTGGTTAAAAACAAATTCGCTTTTATGTCATCCATTCTGAGCTCTTTTTTAATACAGACGGAAATCTTTTTACGCTCTATAAGAATTCGCACCGGTGAGAAATTCTTTTGGAGTTCATTTTGAGTAAATTCCCCTAACTCATGAAGACTTTTAAAAAGTGAATCATTTTTAAGTTCATTACGATCACATGTGCTATTTGGGCAGATACAAGGTCCAATGTATAGATGTGACTTCATATTACAAGTGGACCTTGTATTGTGAATTTTTATCACGTTTTTGTACCAAAATCATCCATTAAAACCGAAATGGTAAGACGCGCTTGCCTCGATCGAGATCATTTCTGTGTTCCCATTAAATCATGTATGTTAACGTTAGCGCCAGCGATGCAGGTTTCGTCTTCTGGTAGGACCGTCGTTGCTGCTTACGCAAGTACCGTGCCTAAGCGACCTGCTCGTACTCGGCCTTATTGATGTTGCTGGCTAGGCAGCACGCTAAGAAGATACCGACCAGTGGGAAAAAGGCTACGCCGATCGCCGTACCGGCCACCAGACCGATGTTGCTATTTATGAAGTCCAGCACGAGATTGTAGCATCCCTGAGGAAAGGAACGGTAAAGAATTGTAGAAATCGGGAGAACAGAAATCGAGAAGAATCGAAAAAAAACTGATATAGGAAATAGGAATTGAATCTATCAGTTTTTTCCTATCTTCTTCACTTGCTATACCCTATTTGAACTTTTACTGCATTCGTCATCCCCCTTTTAGCTTCTACTGCGGATTGTAATTAACGCACAATTTTCATAATTGCGACAGTCAATCGGTACGTGAAAACTGCTCAACGTGTTGTCTGCCCGGCAAGTTTTGTCGTGTACGCTACGGTAGAATTTTCATTAAGTATATAATGACAGAGTATTGTATAACGATTAAATAAAATTATACCTCCAGGTAGTATTGAACCGCGTATTGAATCGTACACTTTTTACTTTACGGCTATGATTCGAAACAGTCTTATGTTAGATTTAATTAGATCGTGCTTTTAGTTTTTGTAAACTGTGCTAATCTAAAGTGAATCATTTTCAAGTTCATTACGACCACTCGTGCCATTTGGGTGGATACAAGGTCCGATGTACAGATGTGACTTCATATTGCAAGTGGACCTTGTATTGTGACTTCTTATCTCACTTTTGTGCCAAAATCATCAATTAAAACCGAAGTGGTAAGACGCGCGCTTGATCGAAATCATTCCCATTTAAGCCAAAAAAACTTTGTTGGTCGCCACGAAGGCACTATTGAAAAGCCGAGTGTCGAATAACCACTATGACAGTCAACATGTTAATATCTTGCTATTTTGTGCCTTATGTATATACTGGCGTGAGTGAAAAAGCTGTCTTGCAGGGATTTAGGCAGATAAGAGATGGAGAATAAACCTCGGTGTAAATTTCCTCTTCGTCCAGCGGGTCACACTTATCCTGGGGCACCTTGCAGCAGGAATAGGGAACGTCCTTCGGCGGGTCCAGGTGGAGCCAATCGGTGTACCCGCGGTTGCCGCAGCAGTGCAGCTGTAATCGATCAATTGAGCTTTTCAAGTAACGGAGCGTAACGCAACCACGTGTCACGGGGAAAGAAAAATGGGTAGGTTTCGCCTGTCTCTTACTTCGTCCTCCTCCTGTGTATTGAAACGCGACTCGATCATCCGACCTCCAATCAGTTCGGATAATCGACGTTCGATTGGCAGAACAATCGGGATAATGCGAATGGCATCGCCGTACAGGGATACTCACAGTCGATTGCATCGTATCGATGTGAGTGCTCTTGGAATTGTCCTGCCCGTAGGCTGCCATGCTCTCGTTCAGACCCTGATCGAATCCCTCGTTCAGGCTCGTGCGATAAGCGTAGACCGACGCGCCCGCGCCGAGTTCCAGCAGAGCCACGACGGCCAGGAACGCGCCGTACTTTGCAAAGGTAAAAAGAAAACGAATGAAGAGAATTACTTCTTGAGACCTTAACGAGGAAAGTGTTTATTTTAAGATATCTACTATAAAGTCACTGGCCTAGCCGGAAGGCTATTCGCGCGAACTCCTGCGTCTATACCTATTTTACCTAAATCGAAGGTTTACCTAGCAATACTCGCTCTCGATATAACAACTTTAGATGATTCCAAGAATTGTGATTTCATATATATTTAGGATAGATTTGGTTAATATATAGAGGGAAAGATTGAGAAAGAATTCCTTTTAGATTAATAAAATTCGTATGGCTCAAACGTGATAAACACAAATTTGAAGGAATAAAGGACTAAGAGCCGTGACAGGGTGTTAGTGTACAATCGTCCCTACAATGATGATTGTACTGTGTTTTAAGACTGGCGATTTAAGTCGGCACGCGGTTCTCGTTGTCGAGTACTGTCGCGATAGGTGGCATTCGGGAAACAACATCAGACTATTTATCCAATGAGTATTTCCATATGCCTTGATGGTCGAATTGGTTGGGACGCCCGCCTAGCGAGAGGGAGGTCCAGGTTCAAACCCTGGCTGGGGTAACATTTTTCGCAATAAATTTAGAATATGAAAAATTTAGACACCAACACCCTGTCACGGCTCTTAGTCCTTTATTCCTTCAAATTTCCTTTTAGATTCTCTCTCAATTCGCGTATCATGAAATGAATTGTTCTTCCATTCCGTTTCCGTTTTAAAAACATTTCTAAGAGTCGAAAAGAGAACTTGCTCTTTTACGTGACCAATTCTGAGCTCTTTTTCGAATTAAAAAGGACTTCCCTTTATACTTTACAAGCATTAGTTTATTTTGAGCGGATTAGTGTGGTCTACAGCCTCGCTTTGAGTAAGCCGTAAGAAATTAACCAATCACAGGTGAGAGTGAGAGACTTGCGCACTAATTCATAAAAAATTTTGAAAAATAAAGTCCTTTTCGAGCTCCTAATGATCGCCAGTGCAATTTAGGGGAGGCTACACTCCCCCTCGCGTAATGATATCGTATCGAGTATCGGCGTGTAACTTGATTCCACCGTTCCCGAGGGACCCAAAGTCCGCTTCAATTCGTGATCTATAATCCACGATGGAGTTCTATTTATAATCTTACGTAGAACGCGCGGGTGTACGTACATAATGCAGACACACGTGTATTTATTCCGATATGATATGTTCCGCAGGTTTCGATTCATCGTGAATTCATACGCGGGGCTTCATCTCGGATTCTCGCGAGCTCGAAAATAGATCTGACACCTACCAGATACAGCAGAGCAGGATGGCCGCGCGCGGTGCAGCAACAAGCGAGGACCGCCGCGACCGCCAGCACCGCGCCTAAGCTCGCGAGTGCCAGCAGAGCGGCCCCGCTGCCTTGCACGCTCATGTTCATGTAATCCCGCAGCTGGATGCGCATCCATATGCCGATGCATAGCATCAGCACCCCAGACGCCTGTGAAGCATATAAGCACAAGTTAACGCCACTCGTTAATTGGCGTGTTAATTCGGTCTTTTAAAAAAAATTGTGACAAGAGCCTGCACGTGTAAACAAACGCCTACGATCGCACGACGATTAGTCTCAATAAAAATTTACCCTCTAAAAGTCAATCAGTGGATTATCACTGAAAACAGTGAATGGTCACCGATTGATTTTTAGGGAGTATGGCACGTGCTCTGGACCCTCTTTTATGAATAAAGGCGCCTCTAAAAGTGGCTAATAACCCTAGGAGCACAGTACTTCGGCTAAACATTGATCTAATGTTGGTCATATTAGAAATGCCAATGGGCCGATATTGTCCAACGTAAAGCCAATATTGGCCGTGAAATTAATGTAAATATTGTACGATAATAATTACATAATATTAGATTTATATTGGGAGTACATTGGCCAATATTTAACAATGTAATAAGAATATTGGTCTAATATTGATACAATATTAAACCAATATTGCTAAATAAACATATTGGCTAAATAAGAGAAGTCCATCTTACAATATTGGACCAATATTGGGAATTTACGTTATTTCCCAATATTGCGCCAATATATTGTGCTATTAGGGAAGTTTTCTGATTGGCCACAAGCCACTTTCACAGGCGCTTATATTGATAAAAGAGGGTTCGGAATACGGGCCACACTCCCTAAAAATCAATCTGGTATACTTACAATCTAAAAGTGGCTAATAAGCCTTCTGATTGGCCACTTTTAGAGGCGCTTTGCTCGATAAAAGAGGATTTAGAATACGGGCCTAAGCCTTCGGCCGATGTTCATAGTCCGTTCTTATTTCAAGACCGTCTTGAAGTAAGATGCTGATACGGCTCTGATTTATTTATAACATCTTAAGATTGTATATAAGACGGTCTTAAATATAAAAACAAGCTATGAAAAGTACTAGTCTTTGACGCGAGTATAAGCTCCTGATAAATTTAAGGCAAGTGTCAGGAGCTCTTACTATATCTCCTTTATTGGAGCATAATCTGGAGCGAAATAACGTATGAACGTAATGATTGATGATGCAGTAACTTAGGCGGACGCTAGTTTGAAGAGTAGCAACGGTCACTAATGTTAGACACGATAACAGTCGTATATGTACTCACATATGTATGAACGTGCGGTCTGCAGATAAGCCGCGTAATTAACGCGCTCGAAAATTCTGAACTGATTCGAAGGTTCAAGGATAAATTCGAACCGGGGAAATGTACAGACTGTCCCAACGTTACATACTTCCCGCCAAGTCAAATTACATAATATACAATTTTAATTATAGAGAAAAGTTTCTTATTATGAGGTAGGCTCCTAATATGAGACAGCGGAGTTTCTGCTAAATTAATAGGCATCATCGGTTGGTTCCACCGTGAATTTATTGCCCTTGGAGTGATCTGTTTCATGGAAAATTCATTGTTAGATCGTGCAATCGTTGCGAAAAAAGATTTGTGATTGAATTTTAACGTTGAAAACCGTATTAGAAGAATCCTATCTCATTATAGAGAATTCCTCTATATACACATATAAAATATATATATAAAATCAAATATAGATACACGAGAAGAGAATTTTCTCTTAAAATTTACCCTAAAAATCGTAATCGTGGGACAACATGGCATTTCGAAGAATCTTATGAGTTTTTTTTTAAATTTTACCATACATTTTGCTAGTAAAATGTAAAATTTCAAAAAGTTTCATAAAGTTGTTCAAAATGCCACGTTGTGCGACGATGATTTTCAGGGTAAATTTTAAAAGAAATTTCTCTCCTCCCATATATTATATGTATACGTATTTTTATCACTTTGTGACGTTCCGTATATTTCCATTATTGTACAATATACACGCACACTTTCGTGACGTCCTACAATTCTTTTATATAAATTTTGTATTCTTAAATGCATCCTAAGTCTCCAAGTATTCTCAACTCTTGATATCATAACGATACTGATGAGCCTTTAGAGTTTCGTGCTGTCTGAACTTCACGTTTCAAGGTCACGTTCATCCACCGCCACATATTTACCACCTGGCGCTCATTTCCCAGTTACTCGACCCAGTTAGGAATTGAAAAGCTCAGAGACATTGTCAATACGTCATCAGTATGCACACTTCCCCGCGGAATTAAACAAAATTAATTAACATCCGATATTGTAATCAATTGCGCAACGGTTGGGTAGGACCAGGGTGCGCGATAAGGAGGTTCCGCGATCGTCACGTAGGCGATGTTCAGGCCTCGTAGGTCTCCGCTTACCCAGAAGATGAAATTGAAGAGCATCAACAGGGTCTTCATGCAGGTCATCGTGGCCACGGTCTCCAGTCGCTTGCTCATCCTAAGGTGTGTGTGTGTGTGTGTGTGTGGGGTCTTGCCTTCCTTTCCTCTCACTCACCTGCGACAAAACCCTACTCGACACGGGGTGTGGGTTATTACGCACTAGCAGGTTTCACTCAAGCAACGAGCGGAGTTCGCGCGATCGATTTGCGAGAGGATTTGCGAATACACTCTTACGTGTTGCGTGCGTGGCTCCTGCCCCTCTCTCAACCGGTGCATGCGCGCTACCCCGGCGTGGATGCGATGGCGATGGTGGGAACTCCCCTTATCGGAACAATTCTTCACGAGAAAATGGTTAACGGGAACAAGTGTACCGCGGACACCGTAGCCGGCGGACAAATATACCGCCGTAAAGGCTCTCTCTTCCCCGAGAGAGACGTTCCTTGGGCGTATCCGTCGCATTGAAATATTGAATGCTATGGCGATAATTTCTTTTATTGGAATAACCGCTGATGAACCAGCGATACAATATAAATGGCACAAATATCCGATAAATGCTACAAATGAGCCTGGGAAGGCTTTACGAGGTTGTTTAACGTTTGTTTGGAACTCTACATTAATAAAAATAAGAATATGATATTTAGGATGATAGCTTTTGACCAGAATAACTTCAATTGTACTAAATTGGAACATGATAGATGATATAAATAATGTAGTAGTACGCGGAGAGAATTTTCTCTTAAAATTTTTCCTGAAAGTCAGGTGATCGTGAGGCAGAATTTTATGAGCGTTTTTTAAAAATCTTACCATACGTTTGACTAGCAATTATACTTAGTATACATTTTACTAATAAAATGTATGGTGAAATTTAAGAAAACTCTCATAAGGTTCTTCAAAATGCCACATTGTTCCACGATTACACAATTTTCAGGATGGAGAAAACGCATAAAGCATTTTCTCTCTCTTTCTTTCTCTCTCTCTTAATTAATTTTTTATTCCTCACGTGTGAGTTCAAGAGATAATTGAATCAGTAAATAGAAATTGCCAACAAAGAGCTACTACATTGTTAAATAATTTCACGAAAAAGTTAAATGAAAGTTATGAAATTAACTATTTAATTAAAAAAGATGAAATTAATTACTTTTCAACTAACAATAAAATGTAGTAATGAAAAGTTTTAACATTTTTTGAAAATAGCGTTTACTTTTGTAAATAACTCTGCTTAAAATATTAGGAATTAATAAGACTCGTATTTATTTACATTGAAATTGCATGTAATCTAATGTAATCTGATCATATTCTATCTATTATTTTAAACAGGGAAAATTACGTGATTTTTTCTTAGGTAATACGATTTCTTTAGTCATTCAAAATTATATTAAGATAAGGCTATAAAAAAACCAATGATTTACAAAATATTTAATACTTATAACTGTTATGTTTATACATATACAATTATTACTAAAACATTCGCTCTACAGAATTGGAGATTACTATATTTGCTGTCGTTATATTTTTACTTTGGAAAGTTTCTTCATCGACAATCGGTAACGTCTACCCTTTATTTAACCCTTTATTAATTCTTATCCTCCAGTGAAATAAATATGAAGCGTATACTTATTCCGGATTTACAAAATCTCCGGACAATATCATTACAATTAAATAAGACTTATTTGAAACGAGTTTATATAAACTTTAATTTAAAAACTACCCATACAGCACGTATGTCTAAAAGGCATCTTTAAGTGCCTTTCACTTAAAAATATATTTACAATATTTGTTTCGTTACATTAGATTTTTTTAATATTTGAACTTTATTTCCAATATTTAATAACTCAAATATTTCTAAACTCACAATATACAATTTTATTAGAATTTGAAAACTTGTTATTTATTGCATCCTCTATTTTGAATGGTTAAATTTGATGTTATATAATAATTATATAATATTATATACAGACACCTGTACTAGATATGTTCTTTCAAGAAAAATTGGATATAGAAGGACAAAATATTTAAGAAAAAACTTTTGTGCGAATACAATTAATAGAAAAAACAAAGAAGAGAAATTAAATACCTAATGTAGTTTTACTTTAGTAATCAGAAAATAAACACATATGTATTTCAATTGGTAAAGCACATCAATACAAGTACATTATATTTTATTGGGCGATTTATTGATCGAAACGCTCGCGTATTTATGCGCAAGTTTTTCCGCTCGACGGATTTTACTCTTATTGATCTTTCGAAGAGTCGCTGGCAATGTCAAAGTTGTTGGTGTAATTTAAAAGTACTCCCGGCCAAGCGACGTTGTTTTCGCCGATGATTGATGATCGCCGCAGGTTCTTGGATGATCGTTTGGTTTTTCGGAACGAGCGAAATCTCTCCTGACCGTTTAATCCATCCTCCTGATCCTCCTGATCCTCCTTATCCATCTTATCCTTCAAATTATCCAAAAAGATCACATTGTTGTTCTCCGTCTGTCTCTCATTTCCTCCACGATTGTTTTCATCAGCAGGACAAGAAAGCCATTCGTTTCTTCCTTGATTATCTATCAGATTTAAGTTAAGTTTTGATATATCCACGATTGGCCAGGTGTTTTGCATCGTTCTGTCCTTTTCCCCTCCGGTATCTGGATTATTGTTAGTCTCTTCGGAAGATAATTTATTAAACATCGGATCGGTGAGCGAGTTGGCATCCCACTCAATCTGCTCCTCGCTGCTCACGGACGCACTGTCCTGATTTCGATTTTGGTCTCTCTTGTCACTTTTAATATCACCGATAGTCTTGAAGTAGATGCTATGGTCGTACCGGTACGTTTCTAGACAATTGTTATCCAGCTTACTGTTCGATTGGTAATTGAAGGTGCCGCAGCAGTTGATCTTGATCTCCTCCGGACGCGATTTCCATCGGGATCGTTTGAGAGCGTGAAATCGCGGCGGGGTTTCGTTGGAGGCCGCGCTCCAGGACTCTTGCATCGTCTGCCGATTCTTGAACCACCTGATTTATTTTTGTTTAAATTATAAACATCTCTCTTTTTTGCGTACGTATTATTTATGTATAGTCGCTCCCGCCTTATTAAGGTGAGGCAGGAGGTGTGGTCAAATTAAAGACGATATTTGCGAATTTATTTCAGGGAAAGAGGATGAATGGACACAATTCTCTATTTAGATATTTACTTTTGTACTTGTGAGACGTAGAAAATTTATTTGTAATGCAAAACTGATTAAGATAAAAGTGAAGAGAGAAAAGTTATCTGTCACTGGTGACAAGATTGAAAGTTTCGCGTGCTTTGCGTCTAGCTGTTCATTTTTTCCCCGCAAATAAATTCGTAAATTTTATTTTCAATTGGATCACGATCCTCCTTAAATGTGCTATTTAATCCTCAGAAGATTTTTTTCAATCATGCACATTAATGAACGTTTCTCTCTCTCTCTCTCTCTCTCTCTCTCTCTCTCTCTCTCTCTCTCTCTCTCTCTCTCTTTCTTACCTTTGCGATCGAAGACGGTTGTAACCACGTGCAAAGGCTGCCCATCTCTCGATCCTTTGGAAAACGTACTCTGTCTCCTCACTCCACCATTCCGACAGGCCCCTTTGAAGCAACGTCTCCCTGTTCTCCGCAATGGTAGTCATTCTGATGTTGCAAACGAGAATGAAAATTGGAGGAGTTATTATTTGTGTAAGAGTTGCTAATTGATGCCTGAACTAACAGTTAGTAATTGGACAACTGTAAAAGTGATTCGGTCCGGCGGGTAAAGAGTCAATTTATAAGACCAGCAGGAAGCACCTCAAACGCGGAAGCCATTGGTGATTGTGGCCGTGACCTTGTATGATGGTGCAACGTTTTCGCCGCGCCTAGTTACATTGCTTGGAAACACGTCGTGAAAAATTAATGCACCGCCTCGACATAAATAGCTTTATTGCACAATAGTTTCGGTAGGCAATTGTGGCGATATTTCAATTTGTAAAAATAAAATGTGAAAACTTTTCACAAGTAAAAATGCTAAAAACACTAGGATTAAAGTCAGTTGGAAACTGAACTATAAGAAAAGATTTTATTATTTATTTAGAAAGTTATTCTGTTAAAACTTTTTACCTTCACTTATTTGTTCGAGACAATAATAAATTTGTTAAGGAGCAAATGGATAATGAAGATACTCTTCAGCGTATTTTCATCGAATATTAATTTCAGCTGTGTGCTTATATTATAGAAAAATATGCCAGTAAATCTATAATTAGAATACAATGTGATAGAAACGAAACAGTCTCGAAACAGTAGATAAATTTAAACTCAATATATATTTAAAAAAATTTTTAGAATCGTTTATCGAAACGATACTTAAAACTCTTTCACTAAAATCTTTCGTCTTACGTAATATCGTAAGCAATGGCACTCATTCTCCTCGCCGCCGCCCATTCTTCTCGCCAGTGTATTCACTTTTTTAATCAGACAATCGAGAAAAGCAGCTATGTAAAAATAACTCGCGGCCGACAGAAGAGTACGCTTGTTCGCTCGTTACTTATCAGCGGATGCTGCCCACACTCCCTCTCGCTGAAAAGGATTTTAACGTCCGATTTTTCTCACGAGCGCCACAGAAAGGAAATAGAAAAGCCAAGACGTGACATCGGTAATGCGTTTAGCTGGTGCCCTGCCAATCATCGACGCGTAACATCGCGGAATACTGAGCGGTCGGTGGCGGAAGCGGCTCGCGGAGAGACGGAAGAAAATTGTTTATCAGTACTCGCGGCGGTGCGCGAATTAAAATTCAACGCCATCCCCCGCGCGTTTTCACCCCTGCGCGATTTTTTTAGCCCCAGGAGGGGGAAGGATGAACGAAGTCGGCCGCGGCTATAAAAAGCTACCGCTGCGCTTATCGCACACTCCTTCGGCCGATTTCCCCGACATCCGGTACGCGCAGGTAAGCGGATATACTTAAGACGTTTCGGAGAAATTCTTCAAAAGTACCTTATTAAACTCTCTTTATGCAATTTATATCGCGGATAAGCTCGTGTATCCTCAGATCAGACATTTTCCGTTATATCTCTCGTGCAAGCTCATTGTAAATCGTTCGATCGTCAACCCTAGTAGCACTGTGTATTGGCTAAACATTCGCCCAATACAACCAAATATTGGGCCAATGTTTAACCAATGATAAAGACCAAAAATTTGGTCAATGCACTGTGCTACTGAGAAACGTATTACCTGTATTTAAAAAAATTAATATTATCGAATCTTGCTTCGCGTTTGCGTCCCAGAGAACATGCATGTTTAAAGGAGGGTGCATTGTGCTACTAAGGTATGATGCACATCAAATATACTTTTTTAAATAAAAACGTAGTCGCATGTTTTCAAAATTTCTGCTGTGCATTAGTAACATTCTACAAGTATAATAATTCTACAGTTATCATTAAATAAACCAAGTAAAACTAAGACTCTAGAATATATGACAATCAGATAGTTCGACTTGTAGCGGTTTTTAAGAATATTTATGCTTCAGGTTTACGAATTTAATTGAACGAATTTCACGAATTTCATAATAAATGAAGAGCACATCGTTACGTAACTCTCATTATTACTGTCAGAAGGAAAAATTCATATGTTTGACGATGGTATTCGATGATCTATGTGACGATCTGTTTGGCGAAGATTTGCTCTAAGGTAAAAAATTGACGATTATGATTGTAGACATGAATCTGACTCTTGCGCTGTCCTGCATGATCGCGATCATGTGGCTGTTCTGCGGAAGATGTAAAGCAGCTCCTGGATTAATCACCGGCGTCCATCGCAATTTAGGAAATCGCCCACATATCCGCGGGTAATTGCTGTGTTATATATATAAGAAAATACGTGCAAATCACAAGTAGACGACAAAGTGAGATAATTCGCGCGCAATTCGACCTCGTTAAGGATCGAACAATTAAACAGTGAGTAACTATTTCGCGTGTTCCGCCGCAGATACGCCGTGGAAGGTCTCGTGAAGGACCTGGTGGACGATCTCGTCGGTGAAGACGAGGATAATTTGCGGCTAAGCAAGCGGCAGCAGCTGGACGATTACGGTCACATGAGATTCGGCAAGCGGTCCAACGGCGACGAAGAAGAGTACGGGCATCCGCGATTCCGCAGAAATATCGAGTAAAACGCCAACACACCGGGTTTCTCTACATCGTAGATCGTTCACACACTCGTGCTAGATGTAGATAGAATATATTTTACATTGCAGCTATTATCGATCGTGTCTCGTTATTCTCTACCTCCTCCAGTTTCTTCATCTTTGATCTCGGTGCCGCGCGAATTAATCTGTGCTCTTCGAAAGTACGCAATCTATCTCGGATTTAATTCTGTAGCTTGCCGCGATATTGTATTAGGATAACAACACGTTAGCTTTTATTTATTGTGAAAATAGATGGAATTTATAAATGGAGAAAAATTAAACGAACATTATGAAAAGATCTGACAAATTATAACATCTTTTGTGAGTTAAAATATATTGGAACTGAGACACGATGAAGTGCAGAAATAAAGTCAGCTCCCACTCGCCAACAAAATGTTCTGTTAGTTCGTACATATCTTATTTTTATGAATAAAGGAATAATCATTGCGTTCATTTTACATATTGTTCTTAGTATCCCCAATTTATTAAAAATATTCCACAGATTTATCTAGCACTTGAAATAATTTTATAATAAACAATTTCTCCCTTTACTTTAATGCACAAGACCATTTTATAAAGCAGAAATTATATAAAACTTGTCAATCGTTAACAGGACTTTGTTGACATTTATTATTTATTAGAATCTCATACAGTTTCCCCCTTTGCATTTTTAAATCTGCTATTCTCTGATGAAGATCCATATTATCGTCTAAAAACGTGTGATATCCGCAACGATTTTCCAAATCCTGGAGACTGTAACCAATGGTGCGTCGATTTAACAACCACGGCTCTGGTAATGGTGGCGGTGGTGGTGGTTTCGGTTTTAGAGGATAAATCGACCGATAATCGCTGCTCGTGGTAGTGCGGTAATTCATCTGGCAAGTGACCATGGGATCCAGAAGGATGTCCGTTAATTTTAATACCTTTTCCTCGTAATCCTTCCTAGGTAACGTTGAATTATCACTTTGGATGTACACTCTAGGAATCACTCATGCCTTCCCATATAAATTTAGAAGTTATGGGGAAATTTATTATTAATATTTAATGTGTCGGTATGTGCGCAAATTCATGTGGGAAGGCATCTGTGATTCCTAGTGTGCATTGAACCCAAATAACAAAAATGCATTTTACAATTTTGTTACAATAATAAGAAACATTAAAGTATGTCATAAGTTTCTGAGCGTTAATTCTAAGAGCAATGATATCACCCGAATATTCTGTACTTTGATAGGATGAAAGATATCCTAATATATTGGGAACATCCCTTAATTTATATCTCATACTTTTTGTGGTATCCACAAACATTTTCACAATCTACATTTGCTGTGTGGAAACTTGTGTGCTACTTCCATTACTTCAAATTGCATTGTGTCATGTTGGCATGTATAAGTGTGAGAGATACGTACTCCGCCGAAGCAAGCGACTGCATCGTTAGTAAACTACGTCGTGGATAAGTAACCGGCTTGTACTCGTCTTTTAATTTAATCTGCGACAGCATAGCGCGCGTCTCCGAAATCCCAGTGATCTCGTCCGCTGGACCAAGCCTCCGATACGAGGATTTGTGCAGATTCCCGCTCGGTGGAAATATGTCCGCGTTATCTCTAGGCTCCGACAAGATCTTCATTTGCCTGTTAATTAGATTAAGCGAAATCGCTGAGAAACAAATCTCGAGTTCCATCTAAACGTGCCAGTTCTACATTATTGAACTGAACTCAACCTACTAACAATATTTCGTGCTGATAGAATTTATTTCACCTTTATTCTTAGAAACAATTATCACCGCAGTCTTAATTTAATTAATTAACGGGAGTCCCCAAATATATGCATACGTATTATACACTCACTTTTTTGTTTCTCCCGACAACAATAAAGATTTTTCTTGATGCAAAGACATATTTTTTAGATAATAATTAACGTCACGCTAATTAATTAAGTTCAAATATTACACGATTGCTCACACTCTGTGTCAAATAATGATATGTAATACAAAAACAGGAATATTTTTGTAAGGTGCAATAAGGAGAGATGAAACACCGTTGCTACGATTAACAACTGTGGTCTTCTCCACGGTGACTAGTAGTTACTGACTACTCCCCCCACATTTCCTCATATAAATACGTGATACGCTTAGTGTATACAATTTCACGATTGATCTATACAAACAGCATACCTACATTATTACTTAAAAAATTAATATATAGTAAAAGATTTAAATTAGAAAACAGATTCGTCTAACAGTTTTCTGTTACAGAATAAACAAATTTAATTAAGAAAGTAAAAAGTTAAATAAACTTATGTAGGAAAATGTGTACAAGCAGTCAAAATCTTTCTAAAATAAACATTAAACTTATAATAATACATGGTTTAAGATTCAATATCTTATATATAATTTTAACAATTAAATCTTAAATAAAATATGGTTAAGTAAATAATAAAGTAGAAACTACTTGGCATGCACTGTCCTTGAATCAATAAATGTTTTAATTATTGATTATTTATCGCGCTTTTTATTTTAATTTATTTTATTTAATAAATAAAAGTAGATTGCAATACCAACCAATCGTGAATTTTGACTTTATCGCTGTACACGGCTGGAACATGAAATACGATACGTCCAGTATTTTCGTCTTCTTGTTTATCAGTGACAGGCTATAACAAAAAGAAATATTTGTAGAAAAACTTTATCGAAACTAAATTACACATCACTAAATCACACATTAATAACATGTATTTACGGTTCAAAAGTAAAACATTTTTCCATACTTCTTGTTTCGATATATCAAAAGTTTACAATAATAATATATTATAAATCAGATATTTATGTAAAAATATACGTGGCGCAATAAAATTATAAGATACTTGACACTTTAGGTTTCTTTATAACATTACGTTACATTTTACACAAGAAATATAAATCATATCTAGAACATGCGTGTGTAAATTGTATAGCCTTACATTTATTTTCCCTTTTCTCAGCATTTTGTATTTCGTAAGTGTGTATCTTTTCTCCTCGTAAATTAAATATATAGAAAGAGCTTATTAATCGGTACAATTGAATAACTTCTTCATTCAAATATCTACAAAAGTAACACAAAAGCTTAACAACCTACTTTCTTTTACGTCATTTTATACTATCACGTGAACATAGTATTATACAATATCATTACATTTACGTATGTATATGTATACAACAAATGACACAGGCATTTTCTATGTATTTCACTTTCGTTTCTCAATTTTGTGGCACAAAAAGCAATAAGATTAATAGTTCACGCTATTAGATAAATTGTTAGATATTATATCATTAATGTCATATATAAATAATAAAATGGAACACAAAATAAGAGAATTGGATATGCAAGAGCTGCAGAAAGAAATTTTACGTAAGTGTAGAAAAAAAACTGAGCCTCCGGCTCTTTCCGACGAAGCGGAAAATGATGAACATAAAGAAGAAGATTTACAAGAGGAAGACGTAGCCTCGATCGAAACTGACAATCAGAAAACTACGGACGAATTGCCATTTGAGGATGTACTGGCTGAAAAACGCCGCAAATATACAGCTAAAGAAGAATTCATCTATTCATTATACAATAATATACTTCCAGCTTTCGTAGCTGAGTAACTATTTCGATGCAAATCAGAAATTATTATTATTGTATTATTAATTTAACTTGCTCGATATAGGTGGGATGGATATTTCTTGCGGCGGGAACAGCTTGCGAAGAGATTTTGTCAGGACGAGGCTGAAACCATAGAGGAAAACGACGAAATGGATAATTATGACAAAAATGATAGCACGTTTATCGAAAAGCAAAACGAGGAGAAAAATCAGACATCCGTTACACCGTGGAAGCTTTCACTGCCGGATGAATTCGCCGACATAAGGTTTTACAATAATAATTCTTACTGCGGTCGCATCAGTAGGAAAATGATGGAAGGCGATGGAACGTATACATGGCATAATGGCGTTCAATATAAGGTACCGATAATTGACTCGTAATTAATGTAAAATATATAAAACTTAAAAAATGAAAATTTATTTTATATGTAAAGTCCTCTATTATGAGATAAGTTTCTAATATGGGATAGCAGGTTTTCAACACCCAAATTCAATCAAAAATAAATCTTTTCTCGCAACGATTACACGATCTAACAATGAATTTTCCACTAAATCGATTTCGCTCCAGGAGCAATAAGTTCATAGTGGAATCAACTAATGATTCCTATTAATTTAACAGAAACCCTCGCTATAATCCTATATTAGATCTCATAATAGGGGACTTTTCTCTATAATTAGTATTGTAAGTGTACTAACACACGTCTAGAAAACATTTCAATTTCCGCAAATGCGAGTTTCAAAATTAAATCGACGTTTTTTCCAGTTTATAAATATATTACGTTTGAACTTAGCAAGAATAAATAAGAGAAATTATGCAGGGTCAATTCGAGCACAATAAAATTCAAGGAAGAGGTCTCTTGAAGTGGAGCAACAATTGTTGGTACGAAGGTGACTTTGCGGATGGTCTTCGACATGGCAAGGGCATCCTGGTGGACAGAGAAAACAATCGCATATATGTCGGTCAGTGGTGCATGGGCCACATGCATGGAAAAGTGGTAAAATGTTGAGATATAAATATTACATTTGTCATGTTACAGTGTGCAAAATTATTGGTATCTTGAAATATTTCTTAGATTATTATACACGTAATTGCGATTGACGACTGATGTATTTTAATGCACTTAAGACATGTCTTGCGTATAAAATAAACAAATAATGTACGATGTTACCTAAATCAATTTTAAAATACGCGATTTTTAAGTTATGTTTTTATGTCTAGAAAAAAATGTAAAAACTCTTGAATGATCATTCAAGTATATATATATGTATTTGTATAACTTGAGAGCAAAAATTTCAGTTTAAATTCACTGGAATAAGTTATAGGTTAGGTAACCTATAACTTGTTCAGGCGAATAGATTTTTTGTTAAGCTGCTAAATTTAATTTCAATGATACCATGCTGTTCTCTGATTTAGTCCGATTAGTGGAACACTGTCGGTTCGTACACAAAAGCCGCATAATTTGTATATTACACAAATGTTGTCACGACCTGTCGGCGAGCCTGCAGCACTGACTTTTTCAAATGAACGGAGATCTGCCGCGCTCCGCCCGCCGCTGGTGAACGGCGATTGGCGCGCGGGCGAGCCAATGGGCGCCAATCGGATCCGCTCGCGGTCGGCTGTGCTAGCAGAAAGATTTCAATATCGACGCGTACTCGACGCTCTCGCGGTCGTCGGGTAGTGTCGCATAGTGCACGAGAGCACGGGGACCGAGTGGCGTTTTGTTGCTGCGAGAGAGAGAAATCGCCGTCCAAGGAGGGCACGGACTTCTCGGCGACGTTCGACCGGGCGCGGAAACCATGTCGGACGCGACGGTGGACGAACGGTAACTATCGTCAACGGTCGTCGGCAATTAACGCGAGCCGACCCGACGTCGGTCCCCTGGCACTCGCGACTTCACTTCGCTCCAGTGAAGTCGCCTCCGGCCCTCCTGAAAAAATTATCCCCGTAGCCTCTGATTGTCCTTATTGATTTCTTCTTCTTCCTTTTTCTTTTTTTAGCCCGACATGCGTCTCCCGATTTCGCTCGCACGTCCCGTTTTGTCAATTCGCGACATATGTTTGCATAGACTCGTCATTAACATAATTCTCCTACTTTGGTCGCCGTCCTTTCGTCGTAATTGTTTCGATAACGTTTGCCTCGCGATATCGGGAAACGCGAGTTTGAATACCGCGAGATATCTGGAGATATCTGTCAATCTTTTATTGGTCTGAAGATACGTGTTATTGAATGCATATACATTTTCTTTTTTTTTACAAATTCAGAGCGACACGATGAACTTCTACGTGTCCTCTAAAGGTCTGTGTCCACGATGCTAGAACTTGGATCAAGTTCTAGCACCGTGGACACAGGCCTTAAGACTAGATTTGTTCAATCGAGCAGTTTAATTGTTCGATATAAAGGCTGTATTCAGATGCGGTTGTTTGAAAATTCGTGATGATTTTGCAGAATGACTGATGAGATCGAGGCATTGAAGGCGATTCTGTTAGACAACGAGCTCAACATCAAGGAGAACGATAGGTACACACGTATTTCTGCATCAGGAGAACTTCGTAGAGTATGATTTTCTACGTTAGAAGAAGTGTTGCCCAGTTGTAAATCTGTCAGAGGAAAAAGTTACTCCCGACAGACAGAATTGTACCATATTCCATGCATGCAAATTCCGAATCTTTATGTATGTACTTATCGGAGAGTGTATATCTATTCTCGATAATTTTGCAAAGATATTATCATTGCGTGGAAAACCTTGGGGTGCTATTACATTTGTACGACTTGTTAAGCTCGATTGGCTACAAGCTAGAAAATTTCTGGAGACTCGACAGCTTTTCTATTCCGCAGCCAGTCGACGCGCTTGAAAACTTTGTCGTACGACAAATGCAATATTAGCCTTGGTCGTAATGTGACCGCAATAAGGAATTTAATTGCAACATTCGTAGAAACTGGTTCGCAGATGAACAAGCGCCTGTACGTTGAAGATGCAATACACGATTAAATTTCTTTTTGAGGTCTCAGACGGCGTATTGGTAAGACCAAGATTTCCACGTAATTGTCCTCGAGTCCACCGTGAGTGATCGCCGACTTTTAATTTGCTGCGTCTCCAGACGACGGCTGTCGAATATCAGCTTTCAGAAACTAACGCAATAAGAATGGCACGCGATTAAAATCCCACGTCTCCTGTTAAGGAGTCGCTCTTTATATTGTTTCGATAAGATGTAAAAATTTTATTAATTTATTAATAGAGGAAAGTCCCCTGTTATGAGTTAGGCTGTGAATGTTCAAATTCAATCACAAATATTTTTTTCGCGACGATTACACGATCTAACGATGAATTCTCCACTAAATAGATTTCAATCCTAGAGCAATAAATTCATGGTGAAATCAACGTCTATTAATTTAGCAGAGACTCCGCTATCTCTCATATTAGAAGTCTGTTTCATAAAATAGGCGATTTTCCTGTAATATATATCTTTAAATATACATATCATATTTTTTCAGAATGACTTATTTTGTGCAGAGAAGAAATATGCAAAGAAACATACATATAGATTTGTTACTTTGTACTCACGTATATTTTACTTAATAATGTAAAATATTAATCATTTTTTACATCATTTAATATATTTAATATTAACGCACTGTGTGTATGCGGGTTAATTTAAGTTTGAGTTTAAGCGAAGATTCTTTCGTTCTTCAGATTCTACCGTGTGCTATGAAGAATGAATCTCTGCTTTAAAAATTTAGAGAATATCTTAAATATCTTATATATATAGTATTTATTCCTAACAGCTGATAGTTGAAGATTTAACAACACTAAACATACAAAATGAAAACTTTGATACTAGTTTTATATAGTATTTGTTAAATACACATTTAAAATTAATGGTATTTGGTAATAAGTAGTCATCGATCAAGCTTTGCTTCTTTATTGACTGGCAATGAGTCAACTTCGTAAAGCGCACATATTTTTTTTACGAAGCCAAGAATTTATGTTGATTTGCGTTTCTTTATATTCATTGAAAGCCTATCTGGAATATCAAACTTTTGTGCGCGCGGTGTTGAAAGTTTGTTTCAGCGGACATCTTGCCTCGAATGCATTAATTAATTCTTATATCAGCATACAATGTGTTAATTACAATTTTGCTGCGTTAACTAACCAGTTTGTGGCACGGTGTTGCACGTTAGGTGGATAATTCACAATTTTATCTAACTCTTTTCTGACATGTTTTCAATTAATTATGTATATCTAGAGGAGAACCAGAGTGTATCGAGACGATACTGTTTCCATCAACCGGCGAGGATTCGCAGTCACAATATGTTTGTGTCACGCTGATTGTACGATTACCCTCGGGTTATCCCGATGTCTCGCCGACTATCAATCTGAGAAACCCAAGAGGATTGGACGAGGATACGGTAAAGCTGATGCAATCCGATGCTGAGGCCAAATGCAAGGATTTCATAGGCCAGCCAGTCATGTTCGAATTAATTGAGGTAAGGATTCATTCTTCAGTCTCTTCTTTTTCTTTTAATAATTTTGCTCCCTTTATAATCACTTTGGAAAAAAATGGTAGATCCGTTTGTTAGGTCTGGATAATTCCGTTAATTTATGTTATTATGTATTATATGTATTCATTTATTATTCCCGAAATGAATAACAATCTTAAACTGCACTAATCTCTTTTTTTTAATGTATTTTCTTTTGTATAGAGAAAAGTCCTCTGTTATGAGATAGGAGTCTAATAGTAGGTTTTCAACGTCCAAATTCAATCACAAATCTTGTTACGCAACGATTACACGATCTGACTATCAATTTTTGCACTAAACAGATTTCGCCCCAAGGACAGTAAATTCATGGTGGAACACAGATGACGCCTATTAATTTAGCAGAAACTCCGCTGTCTTATATTAGGAACCTATCGCATAATAGGGGACTTTCCTCTATACATACGTGAATATATGATACATACAATAAAATGTTCTCATAATTCAAATACCAAGATAATAATGCAGTCCCCGCATGTTAATGTCCGAATATTATTTCCTGGGTAAAAAAATGATCAAAACTGAAAAGATATGCAGGGATATGTAGAGTCATTAATCGTTTTAGTTAAATTTTTTTACTTGAGCCTGCAACTGTGTAAAAGGTATTTGTAAACTTTCTTTAAGTTTAGTAATCAATTAACAATAATGATATTTAGCTTACAAATAAGTTAATAGTTCGACAACTTCCAATTTATGGCGATAAATTTTTTCACAAAGTAATATATTGTATTATTTTTAAAATCAAATTAAAAACAATACGCTTCAGCCAATTTAAGATAAAATGCGATGAATACACAGGCAAAATTTCTAATTTGATTTTTATACAAAAAAATTGTAGTTTATAGACTGATTTGTATAACCATTTTCAAAGAATATGAAATATTGTACGTGTAATAATGATAACAATAGTAATTTTTAACTCGTACAATGATAATTTATACATATAATGTTAATTCAGTTAATACGAGAACATCTGACGAGGAGCAATCTCCCTACCGATCAGTGTGCTGTGTGCTTATACGGCTTCCGAGAGGGGGATGAATTTACGAAGACGGAATGCTATCACTATTTTCATTCACACTGTTTGGCGGCACACGTCGCCGCTGCTGAGAGATATTACAGGGAAGAGCAGGAGAAGTTACCGCAGTGGCAACAGGATACTACGAATAAGTTCCAAGTACGCGTTACACATAAAATGTTGCTCTCGTGGATTGTTTTCATCCACTGTTGTAACGTTAATTTCTTACTCCACGTCTGTGTCGTTTACTTCTTCAGGCTTTATGTCCCGTTTGTCGAGAATCTATCAACTGCGACGTTGAGAGCTTGTGGTCAGCGCCGCCGCCGATTGACGTCGAGGCTGCCACCGATTTCTCTGTCACCGCTGAATTGAGGGAACTGCAGAAGCACATGGCCGCTCTGTACTTGCGACAACAACAGCGGGGCGGTATAATCGATTTGGAGGCCGAAGGCGTCAAAATGTTGGTAAGGACGGAGGACGATCCCGCCGCTGCCGCAGAAGAGGTCAGCCCACCTGGCACGAGCTTGAACGCGTATTCGAATACCACCACCATGCAATCGGTTACTCAAGTGGTAAGTAATCAGTCTCGTCTCGATAATCTCGATACGGTGCATCGTACGCACAATATTGTTTTAATGGAACACACCGAGGCCTTAATTTCTACTTTTCACAGTTGAAATCTTGAAATAGAAGCTGGAACTCAGTTAAATACGGCAGTAATGAGTTTGAAATGGACCAATGTTTTTTTCCAAATGTTTCTCTAATTATTACAATAATAGTTTTGTTCCGATGCCAAGTCTTATATTTTCCAAAATTCTGATACATCCGCGGTATCGAAATTGAATTTGATACCTAATACAGATCGATCAAATCGTAAATTCACCGGATTGACTAAACATTGTAACATGTACTTGTTAAAACGAGATAGGATATTCTCCTTATCAACGTTCTGAAAAGCGAATTAATTAAAATTAACGAGGTTCTCAATCAGATGTCGTCAACAAATTTCGTTTAATATAGTAATATAATTTTACTCCTCGCCATCTAACTTTTAAATCTTCAACCTTTATTAAACGAGCATTCTTTGTCGCGGCAGCACTCGAAGCAATCGACGCACCAGTCGCAAAATCACCATCACTCACAGTACCAATCGCGCAATCAGATGCAGCATAATCACGGCCACAACAATCATAATCACGGCCATCGGCATCGGGGTCGCGGTCGGGCCCATTACCGGCGCCACTTTGACAAAGTCAGGCAGACGGAATCTACTCCCAGATGACAATGGGCTCGTGATAAATTCGCCGCCCAAGTCTGCTCTGGTCTCCTCTCCGCTCTTTTGTTCTTGATAAGTCCCGTTTGCGCTTTCGAGCTTTTACTAAATGTATACAATAATCTAGTTAACATTAGTAGCTTAATCAGTATATTACATGGCTGTTTGTCCTCCTCGAATAGTCGCATTGCGATAATAAACTTATAGGTGTCGTTGCTCGACGACAGCATCCCCGTCGCCACGAGGGCGATGGGATGCGTCGCGACTTCTCGTCTGGACTGTCTACGTAGATCGAAGCCGTGGTGCTCTTTCTTCGAACAATTCGTAATCGTACAAAGTAGTTGATATTGTTTCTCTTTAGTTCCTTTCCCTTTCCTATCTTTAGTCTTTAAGTCATACGGAATCTCGTGACATTCAATCCATTTGGTTCTCTTCGTCTTTAGCAAAATATAAATAAACGATGTTCCAAATCTTTAAAAAAAATCGCAAAAATAGCAATCTTTCTCTCAACGTTTAAAAGTATCTCGTAAGATAGAAAGAAAGAGATTACTACACTTTCTTCACGCGTAATATAAATGAATATAAATATTTAAAAAGTTAATCTTCTGTATAAATTAGTTAAATCATATATTTACTAAAAATAGGTAGAAATAGTAATAAAATTTTTTAATAATTATAAAAATTTACTTCCTTTGCTTAATTACTTTTAAGAATAAAAAGGACAATTTTTGTCCTTTATAAGGATTTATCTAAATTACTAAGATTATATATAAAAATATACAACAGTATATAATAATACAATTGAAATAAAAACAGATGCAAGCAAGTCAATGATATATAATGCAAAAATTTACATTTGTACATATAAAACTGTTTGTTTTGTTATAATTGCAGCAAATCTAAACGTAATTCGTTACTATACGAATAAAACGCGAGAATATCCTTAAACTAATTTAGCAGTGCGAATTTTTATATAAAATAAATATATACAACAATTTTTTTGTATGCATACATGTTTACACATATATTTCAGAGCGAACTTCGAAAGACGAAGAGAACCGATAATTCACGCAATAATGATATTACCTTCATGTCCACTGCCGCGAGTACGAATGGTCAAAATCATCTTTCATTATTTCTTTTTTTTTATTTTATCGTCTCTGCTGATTACATGTGCAAACGCTTCTCACTACGTATTAAACGTTACTTATCATTATCTTAATCTTCTATTGTGTTAACAGAAGACCGAGATTTATATTAACAAAGTTCTTAATGTGACCTCGAAGTTTGGAAACGAACATGAGATTTCTGAAAATAATAAAATGTAACGCTTAATATGAAAACGCTTGCGAGAGATGATCACTTTTTTATATAGAATTTCAGATCTAAGAAATTCAAAGAAATATTTTAGGAACAAATTTTCTTTGACAGATTTATCTTTTTATGATGTTAATGTTTGGAAACATCAATCATCTCAATGAAAAGCTTGAAGCAATAATGTTAAAATATTAATCTTGAAGACAAAGACACACAAAATGAGTTTCTCAAACATAAATTCACTTGTCAATTGATAATTTCATTTTCCATGGTTTTTTGGAACTTTTTATCAAAAGAAAATTATCTGTAAATTTGTCAAACAATTTGCGACTAAAATATTTGCTGCTCAACGCAATACGACCTGTAAACGTTCATATTCGACTTTTTAATTTCTTAAGTGTACAAAATCAGACAACATTGAAGAAACGTAACATGCGAATAGTTCGGAACTCGAATTCTTGTATATCAGAGAAAGAGAGAGAGAGAGAGAGAGAGAGAGAGAGAGAGAGAGAGAGAGAGAGAGAGAGAGAGAGTTATGAGAAAAATTAAGCAATCAAAAATTCCTCTTTCATAAAAACAAAGATATTTTATATATTGGTATAAAATTGATATAATCAAAATTAACAGACACAATTTATTGCGTTTTGCGTACGATATTGCCAGCTATATTGTAATTAGTATAATTTCGTAAGTTTAGATTGAACTTAACGAAATTACGCTAATTTCAACTGCTATTTAATTCCGCTTTTGGAATGTTTAGTTACAATTGAAGTGTGTATAGGGTGTCCCAAGAGTCGCTTTACTAAACTTAATTAATCAGAGAGATATCGTCTACGAATATGAATGGAAGGAGTTAGTCTCCCTAAAGATGATTAGTTGGATGGTCCAATCGAAAAAAAAAACAGTCGTAGATACACTGCCGAAAATATTTGTTGAGATAAACACTGTTGTTACGCTATAAAAAAAGCTGTTCAAAGATATTTCTTTTCTTTAACAATTCTTCTAATAATTATCTCTATATTTTTTCGCATTTTTTAATAAACAGAATTTATTACATAACTTTTCCTGCCATCTCTTTAAGAGATTACGAATTTTTTCAGTCATGTGTATATATTGTGTTCTAAAATTTAAAATTGCTTTTTAGTTCACGTTAGGTGAGATTGATATTTATGTTGACATTAATTTTCTCAATAGATCGGTATTCATGATCAAATCTTATATTCAAGACCGTCTTAAGATCATTTTTAGATACTCCATAGCCAATGAAATGTTCCATACAGCATCTTTAAATAAATTCAAGGCGGTATTGAATATAAGAATTATCCAAATAGTATATTTCATCAGATTGCCAGTATTACTCTTAGATCTCACTTGATAAGGACCTAAACCAAAGGTCGAAACGTTGTGAAAACGTATTTAATAAATGTGGCCAGCTGAGGTTGATGGAAACTTGCAATTTTATAAGGATTATCGTTGGAATGTTATTCCTAACAGAATCCATTTTTTTCTTATATGCAAATATCTGCAAAAGAGCTAGTTTGAAAGATTTTTGATCGTATGTGACATCTCAGAAGGCAACTTCGTAAAATATTGACACCGGAGCAACCTTTGGAACACGCTGTATACAGTATATATGAATTGTGCCATTTAATGATTGCTCGCTCACGAAGAAAGTACATGGCACATAAAATTTCCTGCAAACGTTTTACAAATTGATACACTTTAATGTAATGTAAATTTTTTAGATTCCGTCTTTTTACGTCGCTCGCAATTCGAGTTTATAATCGAAATGCTTGCGAACGATAAGCATAGACAATTGTGATAAAAAAAAGAAGAAGCAAGAAATGCATTCATCGTATTTCAAATTTGAGAAAAGAACAAATTTCGTATTAAATACAGCTAAGAATTAAGTCTGTTACTTTAAGTTATTATATATATATATATATACATATATATATATTCCTCTTTCGCAAAGTTCCTCGCATTCTCATTGTATTATATTTATATATAGTTCGATTTACTTTTTTTTTCTCTCGTAAAACTCGAATTTAAGTTTAAGGAGACGAAGGCATCGTCTATTGTAGATACTCCCTTCACTCTATACATATATGTATATGTATATACACATATATACATATATATATCTATTAAATATTATATCGAAGAAAAAAAATTGTTAGTAACCCCCGTTGTGTATAAATTCTTCCACATGAATGTGATACTTACAAAAGGGTAATAGGCTAAAGTAAAAAAGTTTTTAATGTATAAGAATTTCAATAATTTAGGATTTTTCAGGATTTACCCGCAAAAAATTAATAATTTCTTTTATTTAACTTATCCGTTTGTATCTGCTCATGACCTCGGAACGTAATTCGTCAGCTGTTTTATTTTCAACAATTAAATTTTCTATTAAATTTGTAGTTAATAAAATATTGCGAGATTGAAAAAGATCCGAAACTGAAATTTCTAGTACATTTTCTAGTAAAGACTTTTCTGCATTCAAAGTGCATTTTAGACATTTGTATCTAACAGTTTCTCACTTTCCAGTTACGAAATTTGTACGATTTAAATAGCCCAAGAATAGTTTTTATCGTTCGTTTGTTTAACACGGAAATATATCTTATTTAAAGATTCTTATATGTTTTAAATGTGAAAATATCATATAATGGTTATGATAATTAACTTACTCTTACTCTATCTCTATTTGTAAGTATACCAAAGAATGTCGGATCAGTAAGAGAGAAAATAGGAGGCAAAAATCACAGCGATTGACTGTATATGTATACACACATATACATATATATGTGTATGTATACATATACATATATTTAGGAAGTACCTATTTACTCCTTTCTTACGTGTTTTACGTATGTCTGTGATATTTTAGAGAGCGATGGTTTTTATTTAGTTTTTTTTATTACATAATTTTTTTTAACGTACATGTAAATGTCACTGTTCACGAGCAATCCTTGATATGCCTCAAGTGCTTGCCGAATAATACAGAACTTCTGTATAATGCAATGCGTTGCTGCACGATTCCTTCGACTAAAAAAAAGACAGATGTATAACATAAAATTAAATTTTTAGTTGAAAATCTTACGTTCACTTTTGTTACATATAACTGTATCATTATCCAGCATGGAATTAGTGTGAAACTAAGCTGATCTATTATATTATAAGCTCTAGCCTCTCTGTATCTATTACGTAAATGTTTTTTCTCAAGTTTAACTCAATATCTCTAGGTACAACACACACACCGCTTAGTAAAATTTTTTATCATCTTGTGAATTGAAGCAGCTTACATAACTTACATATAGCGTTTTCCCTTTGTATTTTAATACGATTAAGATTCATTGAGACTTTCTTCTGCACTTTCGCTGCAGATCGCCATGAAGATGAAGCTTTTTCATAGCTTTATTAATAGTAGCACTTTCTTAAGCTTCGTATTATAATTTTTGTTAGAAAATTTAATTCCTGAAAATTCATAACTAAGGTGTGATATTATTAATATGTAGGATTTCATTAGTGTCCAGGCGTTTAACATTTAATTGAGCCGCCCTTCTCACGTGGCTTGGCATTAAAAAGAACGAATAATAGAAAATTATCCAAACTTATGAGATGAGGTCATTGAGAAATAACATATATGAATCTTCTAATAACATGTATACATATATATATATATATTTAAATCTTTATCGACATATTTTCAGTGTGTTTATTCGCACTGAATTATGAAAACAATACAATACAAAGTCGAGATAATTATTTCACCGTATTATCCCAACATTGTTATAATACATACATATTATATATGTAATTATATATCTATTGTTAAACGGGATCGATGTAATTCACATTTTTATGATTTGTTTTCCTAGTAGGTTCTATATATCGAGTGGATTCTTAAGTTTACGAGTGGAAGATCAGAAACTTTATCGCGTTCCGTCAAATGCTATGTTGCGAAATGCAAAAAATATTTACGGTGATCTCTTTATTTGTAATATAAGTACACAAGTAAGACGACGTATTGTCGCACGCGTTCTACTTTATTCTGCACATTTTATCTTTAATAAAAAAATATTCGTACAAGTCGCGTACATCTTTGCAGAAGTTTCTTTCCGAGGTTAGCGTGTCTCTACAATTTCTCTCTGATAACAATAACATAAATACTCCATGTCATATTTTGTAATATTGACACTTGTATTACAGCCATTTTTCATATATTAGAACAATAAGTATTATATAACACGCAACTATTGCGCGCGCGGCACCTTACGCAGTTTTGTGATTGATAAGTATTACTGTTTATACTTGTTTGCAAAATGAAGTTCATAGATCTCTTCCATTACCTAGTCGCATTTTTTAACCGATTTCGATATTATAAACCGAGTGTCGAATACAAAAATGGGAATAAATATATAATGTATGATAAATAACAGTTATATAATATATCCAAAAATAACAAATAAATATTAATGTCATTTTACAACCTTCTCTCACACACTTCAACGAATACTGCCATTGATAATACTATCGAAACATCCGTTTAGCATATAGTAATACCTATAGCCTTCTATATTTATTTTGTCACATATAGTATATAATCCTAAAATTAAAATCAATTGAATACGATATATATGAGTATATCGTATAAAATGAACGTGTAATTACTTACTGAGGCTGTATTCTATTCGCATATTCGCGAACAGGAAGTAAGCCTCGGAACTATGTAGAATCTCTCGAAGGAGACAACGCATTGACAACGGAATGATCTTTCTGTTGGCTCAATATGTTGCATTGGTGCCGAAGTATCTCCATCTTCGATCGCAGCGCGTTTAGTTCGTCTTGCATCGGCGAGCCGAAGTCTTTGCTTCGCGCGAGAACGTTGGCAGCATTGTTCAATAATACTGAATTTACAGGAGACGGCGACAGCATATCGAGCGAGATCGAGGAAGTGTTAGTGCTGTTGCTGTCACCGTATCCTTCATCAATACTTTCGTCGGCTACTCTAGTTACCGATTTCAGTCGATCCTGTAAATCCTATAAAGTGCATAACAAAATTTAAACTGCGAATCCCATTAGCAATACTGCTTTTTAATCAACCAAACATGGAATAATTTACTACAATGTCTGTATAGTATCAGAAATTACCTTGTTTTTCGACAGAATTTTCAGGTATTCTCTCAAAGACTGTTCTGTTTTATTCTTCTGAAAAAAATAGAAAAGAGCTCAGTGCATAGCGATTTCATTTTACAAGAGAAACTATTACCTGTGATTTTGTATTATTATAACATTACACACAAGTAAAAAGAAAAGGATGATTTTAGCGAATGATATAAAAATACATACCATAATGCCAAGCTGACCGTTGGTCTGCTTGCAGTAGATTTTCCGCTCCAGATTCTTTATCTTTGCCTTCTCTTCTCTGAGTTTCTTAAGCAGAGCACTGTTCGCTTTATACGACAAGGTCTTGAAGCGTTTATTCTCGTTGGCGAGGTCCTGCATGGCACTCAGTTTCTCCTCGGATTCCGCGTTCTTGGCTTTCAGCAGCTTGTACTGCGCTATCATTTTGGTCAGCTGTAGCCTCAGATGAGCTATCGCGTCCTCCACTTGACTCTGCTCTCGCTTGGACGCCAATAACGAGGTCTGCAGCGCCTCGTTCTCGGACCTCAGCTTCTGCATTTCGAACTGCGTTTTCCGTAACAGATCGGCGGTCTCGTTCCTCTCCGTCTCGGACTTCTGCGTGCTCTCCTCCATGGACGAGATCAGGACGCGCTGCTTGCTCAGCGTGTTTTCCATCGACATCCTGGCCATTTCGTTGCCCAGCAGACGTTGCTCCAGCGTCTTGAGTTCGGCCTTGGTGTTTCGCAATTCGTCCTCGGTCGCCTCCAGCACCATGGACATGTCTGTCGGGCTGCCCGTCGAGTTTCCGTCCACTGCGTCTTGCGCCGCATTGATAGACCGGATGTGTGACTGCAGGTCCTTCATCGTATCTCGCATCTCTTGCTTCTCCCTCTGATATTGCTGCGCGAGCTCGGTGTACTCGTTGCTCAGTTTCTTATAATTGGCACTTATCTCCGCGATCGCGCGCTGCCGTTGCTTAAGTATACTCTGGTACGTGTCTATCTCCACCTGCAGGCTCTTCTTGCTGGCCATCAGGATGTGCACTTGCGACTGGTACCACTTGGCGGAAGTCTCCGCGGCGGACAGACGATTATTGGTGTCGGTCAGCGTGTTCTGTAGCTTCTGCTTGTCCTGCAGCACCGTCTGCATCTCCACGAACAGCTCGGTGACCTTGCCCTTGAGACCCTGATTCGCGGCGATCCGGGCGTTCAGGTCGATCCGCACGTTCTCCAAGTCGACGCGCAGCCGCTCGTTCTCCAACTCCAGCAGGGCCACGCGCTTGGACAGCTCGATGTTGGAGACGTCGGGCGTGGACAGGTGTCGCAGATGGAACTCGTCGCTGATCAACTGGAGCGAGTCCGTCGAGGTCACGGAATCCAATTCCCCTCGGAACGAGTCGGACAGATTGTCCATCGTGTCGATTTCACGGCGCGGCTCAATTTAATCGTGAATTATCGCTGCGTCCATGTTATCCATGTAGTCAGTAGGAAGCGAGCACCTGAATGGGCACAATAATTTCTATTAATAATCAGTAACTAATACTTGTGTGTTTGGAGCAACGAGGCTTTGATTATCGCAGTTGGTGTTCCATTAACGTGAAGCGAAGGGCAAACCGCTGACCAAAATCGTGTACACCAATGCCTGCTAATGTCCAGTGGGCATTACTTTATCTTATTATCGTGTTTTATCTTGTTTTATCTTTTTAATCTCTTTAGATTCTTCATGATGCCCTAGCAAACGTAACGTGGAGTAAACTTGGAGTAAGAGAGAACCACAACTGGTAGCTTTTGGCGTAAGGGAACTAAAATATACGAGCTGCGGCAGGAGTGAGAAATAAAATTGATTGATTTCCTTACTCCTAATCCAGGTTTGCTCCATGCATTGTAGACGCACAAGATTGATCGACGAGAGCCTAACCCCCGGAGGTTTGTTCGTCGAGGGACTCGCGGTTCTCGTGCCGAGAGTAGAGTGTATCTTTCTCTGGGTGAACAGGCGGACTTCCTCGGATTATGAACGAAATGACATCCGTGATCGCGCAGCGTTTGACGTTTCCACGTCGTTGACAGGTGTCACTCGCACTTAGAATCTCGTCGCGGGCGAGCACGAGACGCGCAGCGACGTACCACCTGCGATTTCGCCATCCTCAGTTAGCCGCGAGCACCGTTTCGCACGCTGCGCCGTCGCTCGGCGATGTCAGCGGTCGAAATCACGTAAAACTAACAACAATAAATCCGATCTGATCAATTAACGTCCCCGCAGCGCGCCGCCATTTTGATTCCGTCCAGAGCTGCACTACCTGTGCTCAGCTCTGTACCACCTGCACACTTTCCCTCTTCTCTTTCAAAAGGGGACGGACAGACTATCGAAAGATTAATTTGACAGTACGCTACGTTGCAAGTCCCGATACCTTTTAATCCCTTCAGTCTTTAATTATAAAAATGCGCGCGAAAGATGGGACGTCTTCAAGTTTAAATTTGACAGGGTCTTGTTAAAGCATCTGTTAGCGGGGCATGCATAGAATATAAATACGAATATAAATAATCTTTATTTATTGTTCTCTCCGGACGTCTAACTCACATGTGGGAAATAAATAATTATTATAATTATTAAATAATCTATTCTAAAACCATCTAGCCTACGTACTTCTTGGAATGCAACTTTGAATACGATAAATTTCACATATGCAGCAACTAAGACAGAGCAATTACATGTATATTTTGTACTATGTAATACGTGACAGATCTCGGAGATATCTCGTCGATTTTCGGGAAACGAGAAGAATCAAACGTGCAATATAAATGTGCATGCATCCCAGAATCCTACTTGACGGAATAATTATTCCTTTCTTTCGCGACCTCGCGATTATGATCAACATTTGACGAAATGGAAATCACAGAGCTGCTATGTTATAATTAAATTATTACGGCAAACTGGCGGCTTCCTCTGTGGACCTGCACAAACGGACAGTGTAATTTTATAATTTGTGTATATAAATAATGTGCACAATACGTGTGTGAAAGACAGTTGAAGTTACAGTACTTGGTGAATATTCTACTTACTTGTCGACAGCCTTACTAGGAGTATTATTTGAAGAGCCTTGTACAGCTATGTCTAAAACAGCTTTTTGCCCTGTAAAATAAAACAAAACGTTCCCCAATGCGGAGTCAAATAACTGGAGTAGCTATGAAATTAAGTGAATAGAAGTAAGCATATAATAATGACTGTATTACTTACTTTAAGTACTTATAGTTAATATAAGACATAATTACAAATATAAGTATATTTAAATATAACTTTGTCTTAATTTTTTTTAAACCACTTTTGGCTTTAAATATACTAAATGTACAACTTTTATACGAAATATATATTTGTTATTTTGCAACAGTTACCGTGTATGTGCTGATACAATGCCGGTGACCAGCTGTAACTGTTAGGACTAGGGATAGTGTTTTCCGCTATAGCAGTGTTTGTAGACGTTGACGTACTCTCTTGCGCCAACGACAGTGGAACGGAACTTCCACTGGCAGTGCAAGCGTTGTTCTTTGCATCGGACAAAGTACTCTTTCTGTGCATCAAATATGAAATATGACGAGTTAAAATTATTAAGCAGTGCATATTCTTTTATTTGTGATTTATTTATGGTACTTTGTCTTCACTATTTTTACGGCTACTCCACACCTCACCTTGATTTTGCGCCACAAGCAGTCGCATCTTTCTGCGAGCTCGGCGACAATTGAATGGCTTCGAGTAACTGGTCAAACTCGAATATCTTGCTACTGTCATTTATTAAATTCATGCTAGTGGACGAGCTCGGTGACGATTGGCGCCGAGATAGTAAATGCTTCGACATGATTTTGTTACTGTCTAGGAGTACTGAAACAATATGTTTGTCATTGCTTTCGTAATCCTGTTATTTTTTATCATAAATAGTATTAGTCTGACAGTATAAATTTGCTAACGTTATCAGACTTAAGTTTTCTGAAGTCTTTAAAAATAGTACATTTTCAAATAATACTTTTTACTTCAGTTATTTTAGTTTCACATTCGTTGTGAGAACCGCTACTGTCGACTCAATATTATTTCCTCCGGTATAATTTTACTCACCGTTTGGCACTATCAGATCTAGACGCAGTCTAGACGACTCCACGTCGCGACTGATTTTATTAGCTACTGGCAGCTTTGGAATATCATTTTCGCAGTCTATTGAATTGGAACGCGTCGCTGGTTCGGATCTGGTTATTTGACCACCAGAAGCCATTGTCGCAGCTAGCTCCGATTGGCAGATGCCTGGCAGTCGGTTCAATTTGGCCTTAGCGCCGCATAGCGCCTGCGGCTGAGAATAGTGAAAAGCGCAGTTAGAATGCTTGTTGTCGGTACTTAAATTTAAATCGTTGCAAACGGAAGTGTCGAGCTCAGGGTGCTTGTGCGAATACATCGCCGTCGCGGTAGATTGCATCGAAGTGCTGCAGTGCAACGGACTGGAGCTGCGACGTCGTAGACTCGCGAGCGGGCTCCTGGAATCGCAACCCCCGTCTTGTTGACCAAGACACAAAGAGTTCCATGCTGAATTTTTATCCTGCATCTCGAACAAGTGCAGCAGCATAATTTCCCTCAACCTAAATAACAAGATATTCTGTTGTTATTGAGTCATTTGATTTTATTGAGTTACTTGAGTCATTGTATGATCGTACTTTGACTTAATTACAAACTTAATGCAATGGTTTTTCTCTTGTCCCAATAACTGGATTAAATTTGATATGATAAAAGATTAATATTTCACATAAATCATTGTCTGTCTAATATTCAATTAATTAAAGAAATGTTTTATATCGGTACAAAACTAGATTTCTACCAAAATCTATTTTCCCATTAAGCCAAGAGGTAAAATTTCGTTCTTGTGATAGACTAAAAATATAAATTTATGTAAAATCAATCATCTACTCCTTGAACATTGTGTAATTCCATTTAAATAATTATTTTATAATATTTGTAGTTGACTCATACATTCTTTTTCCTACTGTTTCAATATTACGATTATGGTAAATATACCTGCATGTATCTGTGACGGTATCCCTATTGTTTTGTTGCTTAGTACGCTGCTTGTTTTGAACCCACGATGCAAGAGATTTTGCAACGTCAACGTCGTTCTCCCCTAAAAATATTCTGATTTATTGCTATTGTAAGCAAATTTATATTAATCAGTCCTATTTATCCTATACTTTTTCGTTTATCTTTTTTATGAGAATCATTTTAATGTGTTTAATGCGTATTAATATCAAGTTGCTACATTTATTAAAAATATGTAATAATGGTAAACGCAGTTACAAATGTTATTTGACAAATACGAGGTCTCCGCTATATCCGAATAATTAAAGTAATTTTTTGTAAATAGAAGTGTTCTTTCATGTACGTGAAAACGTGACATCAGAATAGTTTAACTAAAGATAACTGGAATTACGATTAGAATAGAGAAATTTAAAAAATTTATATTTTGTGTTAATTATATGTAAGATATACACGCATTAAGAGTTAAAATACAAGTGATTTAAAATGTGCGAAGCAAATCGAATTTGGATATTGAGATAAAGGTAGGATCCTACGAGGCCGCATAAAAGCTATTAATGATGGATGTAGGGACTTCTTTCACACATTCTTCATCTTGTCTCTGATTCGTAGGTTTGTCGCTTTCGATATCTTTATCGACCGTGCACATTCGCCGTCCTTGCTTGTCTCCGCACGAATCTCTATTCAAGCTACCACCTAATTTTGCAATACACCGATTAACTTACCGAACATACATCTTTCATTAATTATCGAGACTCATACAATCGCATGTTACCTCAGTTAACAAGCTTTGAATCTTAAAAGCCTCGTTATTTAATGTCTTTCTTTTACAATGTAAAATATATCAAGATACGTTATTGTTCTGTCTTATAACGTTACATTTTCGTTTATGTATATATAGTTTACATACCCGACATCGTCTCGTCATCCACGTCATTTTCGTCATTCGTCAAATCCAAGAGCGTGATGTTGGGTTCGTTGCGTTCGCACTCGTCCATATAAATGTCGTGTTCGCTCAATTCCTATGGACACAACGATAAGGGATTATTTTCGATAAAGTTAAAAACTGGCAATGGCGCAAGTAGGAAGACTATACTCACTCCACTGTCGCTGCTGCTGCTGCTGCTGGACGAGAGATTCAACGTCGGCGACAAATGACAATAGAATGACGACGGGGAACGGACGCCGGTGTTGGCAGTCTGGCACTCTCCCGGAGACGCGTTATTGGCGCAACGTTGCGCAGCTACGCCCTCCGCGACGTTTGAGCCGTTGGCTCGATGCGCGCTACTGGTCATCGACGATAACGTCGATGCAGACAGCAGAGGATCGCTGGCGCTATTATTGGATAACAGATTCAGCGGCTTCTGACTGAGCACATTGGGCGACGAATACGGCGAAGAAGCCAGGTGAATCCCCACGGCTTGACGTTCCCCGAGCGCCATGTCGTTGACACGGCGTGGCGATGAGGAACTCTCGGCCTCGATAATGTTCAGATTGCTGTTGGCACGGTGCGTCTTCAACGTCTTCGATGACAATGTCGACGTAGAGCCGAGGGTGTGCATACTCGAGAGCTCGCCCAGATCGCACATCGACAGCAATTGATCCCCCGGTATCGTTGAGTTGCCAATATTACTAGGAAGCGTAGTCGGTATCGATCTATCACCAAAAATACGCTTTATTACTATAGAACATCTACTTGCGCTCAGAATTTTGAGAGCTGAGGAAAAAATGATAAAACTCTTCATTTAAGATGTACTTAAAATGCATGAGAAGATTCTAATCTAATTGACAGTAGATGCAGCATCGATACCTCACTGGTGTTCCATTCGTAGTGGGATACGCGTCGATCGTTCGTGTATTCGAACTGGTCATAGCATCGCCTACATCCTGTTGTTGCTGCGGAGATAAAGGCGATGCATTCACAGTTGCTCCGCACACCGCAGTGCCACTAGTGGCTCTGGTAGCCGCCATCGCATTACGAGAAATTTCTATCGCTAGTCTCTGTGCGTAAAAAGAAGTATTTATTTAACATATAAAATTTTATGAAGTGTACAAACATTTTTTCTAGGAGATCAATGAGTATCAAACTATATGAATGTACGTGCCAGATTAGTTAGAATTAATTCGTGTCTTTTTTGTTATACACTTTGTGATTTACCTTAAAATTGTAATACAGGTCGTTTTAAACGACTTACCTCCTTCAATTCGTTAATCTGAGTGATATATTGATTTTGGACTGTCAATAATTGGCTAATGTACCATTGTTGGTCTCTGCAGCGTTGATAAAATGTCGGTGGTCGTACTTGGAATCTGCCAAGACATAAAATAATTATATATAATTTGATATTAAATATTAAATAACATATTGCTTTGTAGCATTGTGTTTCTACTGATTGTACAATTTCAATCTGTACAAAAGCTACACAGATAAAAATTTCTCATGTGAATATAAATAGTTAAAAAGACAAAACAATTGCAAGTAAATTTCGTCTTGCAACATCGATTAAGAAATACTGTTTTAAAAAGTAAAGACCTACCTCAATATAAGGGTATCCAATTCTGTATTTAAGTAACCTTCTGTCGCGAGTAAGTCTAGCCGAAAGAATCTGTTATATCCCCAACATTCGCCAATCTCGAAATCTGATGCAAATTCACGAACGATATTTTTACTCGTATCGCGGGAGCCTTGATGGATCATTTCAACTCTGTATTCGTATCTATTAAAAAAAAAGTAATAGAACGTCAATTGTATTCCATACTTTTTAGCGTATAGTCGATAATTTTTAGTACAATTTATTATACACTATGAGAAATGTACAAGTCGTCATTTGTGAATTTACTTTGAGGTCTCTGGCAGTCCAGCGCTGAGCTCCAAAAATACTGACAAATAATTTCCGCGTACAACTCCGTTGCCATCCGGATATACTTTCAAACGCCAGCACAGCCCATTCACGTGCAAAGGCGCAGAATATACCGGGTCAGCTTTAAGTTGAAGTTGAGTGAAGTTTTGCATGGCAAATGTGGCACTGTCGTAGCCCGGCACAATTTCACTGGAATAAAATAACGTTTCATATCTGAAGGATCCTATTACATTCGTGTGATGCAAAAATCTCATGTATAATCAGTCATTACATTAGCCTTCAGAGCTAGCCTTACCTATGAAAATCGGCAGGTACTGGCGCGGTAACGAAACTCGTCATCGGTTTTTTGCGAACTTGGTGTATCTTGCGAGAGAGCTCGGCGCTTTTAACAATCAATTCGGAGCGCGTGCACGTATGCAACTGATACTCCACTTCTTGTAACAGAGCCTCCAGCTGCTCGGTTTCCAGGGTCAACGAATTCTTCTGACCCATCAGGGTCAGCAGCTTGGCTTTCAGCTGAGAATCCAGGCGAGCTATCATTAATTCTATCGCGTTTCTGATCTCCCTGACCCTCTCGTCCTTCGCCGCTCTCACCGACTCGACGTTTCTCTCCTAATAACAAACGAGCTTGTGTCTTGGCACGTTTCCAATTTTTGTAGACTTGAAAGCTTATCAAACACAACGTACCACTTCTTGAACAAGGCTGATCAATTCCATGAGCCGCCTATTTAACTGACCTACTTCCGCTTTTATCTGGGTAACATGTTGCTCGTACACGTCTTCTAAAGGCTTAAACGTGTGTCCCGAGTGGGTGCCTCCCCACAGGGCGCACTGGTGACAAATACATTTGCGGCAGGTCCAGCAGTACACAGATAACTTCTCCTGATGCGCCGCACATCTGTGGCAATAATAAATAAATAGCAAACAAATAACAGAACAAAAGTTCTATAGGCATTATAAAAAAGGAAAACGAGTTTCTAAATTTACAAAAACAAACATACGTCTCTAAACATTCAGAATACTATCTCACACCTGTCTCTGTTGGAATCGTCGTGCCGAAAGTTAGATATGCAAACAGCTTGCAGTGTATCGAGCTGCTGGGTGACCTCCTCGACCCAACGACAATTCACCAGTTCGTGTAAGTGGAGAGAGGCCCGGCAGTGAGGGCACTGGGAACGCTGCTCCGTCAGCCACCTTCTAATGCAGGTGTAACAACACAATTTGCTGCAGTGCGGGCAGAGATGCGCATCTCTCAGCTTTTCCATACAAATAAAACATCGGAAGACCTCCGCCAACGTCTACAACGAAGCACAGTAAGCCTTTTTACTCGCCACTCCAATGGTAAGTTGCAAGGCGGTTGTTATGAAAGTATTTTTAAACAACAATTAAAATACTTGGCCGATCTAACATGCAGGCAGTGGTGTAGTTCTTTCGTGACATATTGTTTAAGGAAGTAATTATTAGGTATAATGGTATATAATTTTACTTTATAAAAACGTTTCGGCTCCGAAACGTTGTAAATAAATGAATATAGTGCCAGTTTGGTTGACGCATGTACATCAAAGTATTTTTATCTCTTTTGTTTGAATATTGCTGGCGACAAGAAGACTTTTATTGTTGATATATAATTTTATCGTCATTGATTTTATTATTAATGTAGAGAAAAGTCCTCTATTATGAGACAGTAGGTTTTCAACATCAAAATTTAATGACAAATCTTTATTTACGATTACACAATCTAACAATGAATTTTCCACCAAGTAGTTTTCATTCCGAGGGCAATAAATTAACAATGGAACCAATAGACGTTGCCTGTTAATTTAGCAAAAACCCTGCTATCTCGTATTAGGAGTTTGTCCACGACAGTGGACCTTCCTCTATGTTAAACAATTTTAATCCAACTTAAATCCATAAAATTCAGCACCTACCTAGAGATACAAGTAACAAACTTACTTATTAACGGCATTGTTAGTTAAAAATTGGAAATAAAAAATGGAAATTAAGATACTAAATCCAAAATAGTTAAAGACATCCTGGAGCTCTTAGGTTTTACGGCAGAAATATCGTAAATTTCCAGTAGTGGGGAAAGACATTAAGGCCCGGTTTTTCATTTTTCTGGTTAACCAGAGATCGGCCGATTCTCTGTCTCGTCTTAGATAATAACAGAAGCAGATGGAGAGAGTAGACTTCTATATCTAATAAACTTCTGATCAACGGTTAACCAGAAAATGAAAATCCCGGGCCCCAAGAGTGCCGCGATTGTCATTATACGCTTCACGCGGCAGATCCGCTCCTTTTCCAGCTACGGCCTTCTCACGCTCTTTGTACTCGAAGCGGAGTAAGATCGCAGCTAGAACGAGAACGGGTCCCCGTTGCAGGCTCGACCTCGACGCTAACCTCGACGCTGTGGTCGTCCGCGAGTTTGGAGGAGACCGACGGGTCCCGGCTGGCCATCCTTCGTTCGAGGCACGTTGCGCACGAGTGAAGTGAAGTTACGTTATCGGCGAGTATCGACCAGCTAGCTCACGGAGCGTGCCGTCCGCGAGCGTTCGCGAGGCACATGTCCCAGAATTGGATCACCGCGACGCGTTCGGTCCGGCGGCGTCGGTCGCACGAGGCATCGCGCTCGATCGCGAGCTCGCGCGGTCTCGGCCGCGACGGTGCTCGTTGCGGTCTCCCTCGCGGGCAGGAGCGGGCCGTACACGTCAACTCTCGTCTCGTCGGCGTTTACGAATTTTAGGGAGAAAAGCACCGTTAGCCGTCACCTCCCGCATACGCTCCGTAAACAGCGTGTGACAGCGGGACGGAAGGCAGGCGTTCCGAAAAACGGGGGCACACCGCCTCCGCGCATGACCACTACGTCCGCTACCGAGAAGATACAAATTGTAGATAGAGGTTGATCTTATTTTCACTTTTCGCGCGCGGGCTCGATCATAAATCTTTAAGCCCGTATCAGACTATACGGATTGAAGCCAACGGCACACGACACTATTTTTCCTATTGGATTGCTTACGAGAGCCAATCAGGATTTAGCTTTAAGTCACCTGGTCGAAAACTCTGCATCCTGATTCGCTCTCGTAAGCAATCCAGTAGGAAAAATAGTATCGCGTACTGTTTGCTTGAGATTAAAGCTGCAGCTTTCGCGAGAAGATCAAAATGATCCGGATTAAAATGACCCTGTGCTATGATTGGTCAAATCTGGAATTTCATTGAATACAATTTCAATGTGATGCTACGAAATTTCAGATTTGACCAATCATAGCACATGGTCATTAATCCGGATCATTTTGATCTTCTCGCGAAAGCAGCCTAGATTGAAATTTGACCAATTAGAGTTACTGAACTTGAAGCCCATATCAGACTACGGATTAAAGCCAACGGCATACGATACTATTTTTCCTACTGGATTTCTTACGAGAGCCAATCAGGATTCAGCTTTGAGTCATCTGATCAAAAATTGTGCACTCTGATTGGCTCTCGTAAGCAATCCAGTAGGAAAAATAGTACCGTGTGCCGTTGGCTTTAGATTGGGATTTGACCAATTGCAGTAAAAGCTACTAAACTTGAGATTAGTAAACTTTACTGTGATTGGTCAAATTTCAACCTAATTCCAATTTCAATACGTAGTGTGACACGGGCTTTAGGCTTGTTCGCATCGCATGCCCTAACACGCTCCTGTTTGCCCCAACGACCAATACCGTCACTTAAATCGTAAATAAAATAACATATCTTTTTTCTCTAGCGTGAACTTGTGAAAAGTGAAAAATTTTATTGAATAAATAATACTTAAACTCGTCGTGATTGATGAAGATTTATGACTGAGCCCCAGAAATTACCCGTGCCTCGGTGTGTATCATTTTATCCCTCGTTTAACATACAGGATGTGTTCGAAAATGGATTTAGTTACTGCCAGTGAAAACAGTATAGTTGGTAGCAATGAAAATTACTGGTGCTGCGTTTTTCGCACGCCAGTAAAGTCAGTATGGCTGGGGATGTGTTCGAAAATGGATTTAGTTACTGCCAGTGAAAACAGTATAGTTGGTAGCAATGAAAATTACTGGTGCTGCGTTTTTCGCACGCCAGTAAAGTCAGTAAGGCTGGGTCTACATTTGGATGTCGTAAGTCGTGTCGGAAGGAATTGACCAATCACAGTTCATTATTCGACTTACGACATCCAATGTAGACCCAGCCTTACTGAC